CCCCGTACTCACCTCCCCGTCCTCTGCGGCGGCCGCGGCGGATGCCCAGGTGCAGACGCGCGTCACCGGTTCGGGGTGCGAAGCGACGCCCAGACGCGCACGGGCGTTGCGGTTTCATTCCCAGCCCCAGGACGGGAGAGCAGGAGACAGGAGGGGAATGACATTAGAACACACAAGCAAGGCGGCGGCTTCGAGAGCGGCGTCCGAGGAACGAAACCCTTGCGACTGCCCGGCAGGTGGATGTGTTTGCTTACCGGATTTGATCATGCGGCTCTTGTACCTGACGTTGGTGGTCATTGCGCCGAGCGGTGTGCGCTGCCTGCTCGGCTCCGGCTCCGGCACGGTAGCGCTCCGTGCCCGCAGCGCCTCCCCATTGGCCGCCGCGGCGCGGGGCCCCGCCCTCGCCGCGCTCACCCAATCACGCCCCTGTTGGTGGGGTGATTGACAGCGGCCGCTTGCCGGGGTTACAGCTGGTGGCTAACGGCAGAAAACGCTGAGGACGAGAACAGTAAAAGAAAAAAAGGCTAGGAACGCACCCGAGACTGTGCTCCTTTTTTTAGGTATCTGTGGTTTGGCAGGTCGCTGTTTTTTTCTCCGCTGTTTGATAAGACTAACACTCGCGCTACAAGCGCAAGATCATCCCCGTGCGATTGGAGTCTGCAAGAGTGCTCATTCCTGCAGCCGCCTGAGCCGGACAGACATGCGGGGGTCCTACCGATTCGTCTTCTCTTTTTACATTTATACTTTATCCCGCTGCGTGTACTGACGGACTACGGGCAAGAGCACGGCGCCCCTGCGGAGCCCCTCTGCCTACAAGCAGGTCGGTACAGTGGAGGACGCCTCTGCCCAGCCCCCCTGCTTCGCTGAACCCGAAAAACCGAACCCGAGGGGCTTAACTGGAACCACTGCATGCTTCCCACTCAGGAGGCGGAGATCTGGGGCTGCTGAGGGAAACACCGGGGTCAGAAGGCACCTCCGCCATCATCTCTAGCATCTGCAGAGGAAGAGCCAGCAGCTCTGTCACCCTGCAGCTCCCAGCTGGCAGCCCACTGAAGCCCAGCAGGGTGAGCCTGGCCAGTACCTGGAGGGGAGACTCCTGGGAAAGCTAAGGCTGTTGCTGGAAGAGGTGTTAGTGGGGCCAGCAGGGGGCGCTC